GGAATCGAATAGAAAATCCAGAAATAAACCCACAGATTTATGGTCAACTAATCTTTGACAAAGGAGCAAAGAATATGCATTGGAGCAAAGAAAGTTTGTTCAATAAGTGGTGCTGGGAAAACTGGGTCGCTACATGCAAAAGAATGAAGCTTGACCACCACCTCACACCATACACAAAAATCAACTCAAAATGGATTAAAGATCTAGACATAAGACCTGAAACCATAAAATATATAGAAGGAAATATAGGCGAAACACTACGTGATTTGCACATCAAAGACATCTTTACAGACACATCACCCAAAGCAGTGATAGTGAAGGCAAAGATAAACAGCTGGGACTACATCAAATTAAAGAGCTTTTGCACAGCAAAAGAGACAATAACAAAAACAAAGAGAAACCCCACCAACTGGGAGAACATTTTGCACCCAACACTAATGATAAAGGACTGATCACAAAAATCTGCAAAGAGCTGATGAGACTCAACAACAACAAAGAAAATAATCCAGTCAAAAAATGGGCAGAAGAGCTTAAAAGAAACTTCTCTGAAGAGGAAATGCAATGGCCAACAGGCATATGAAAAAATGTTCAACATCACTTGTCATCAGGGAAATGCAAATCAAAACTACCATGAGATACCATCTTACACCAGTGAGAATGGCACATATTAAAAAAACTAGCAACAACAAATGTTGGCGAGGGTGTGGAGAAAAAGGAACTCTTCTGCACTGTTGGTGGGAGTGCAAACTGGTCCAACCACTGTGGAAAGCTGTATGGAGATTTCTGGACCTACTAAACATAGAGCTTCCATATGATCCAGCAATTCCACTCCTAGGTATTTACCCAAAGGACACAGAAACATCAATTCCAAAGAACACCTGCACCCCTATGTTTATAGCAGCACTGTTTACAATAGCTAAGCTTTGGAAACAACCCAAATGCCCAAAAATAGATGACTGGATCAAGAAGATGTGGTACATATATACCATGTAATATTACTCAGCATTCAAAAAAGATAAACACATGCAATTTGCAGCAACATGGATGGCGCTGGAAGGGATCATGCTCAGCGAAATAAGCCAAAAAGAAAAAGAAAAATACCGGATGGTCTCACTCATAGCAGGAATCTAGAAAACTTAAATAAGGGACCAGGAAAATGAATAACTATAAGAAAGTGAAAATCAAAATCAACAAAAAACTATGAACCAGAGACACTTTTAGGGGGGCGGGGGTGGGAGGGGAGGGATTGGGGTCAGAATGGGGGGGCTGCAATTGTATGGGGAATATAACAATAAAATTTATTAAAAAAAAAAAAAAAAGAAAAACAGACCTGTTATTTAACCAAAAGGATTCCATGCTATGACGTTGGGCACTTATTTTATATAATAACATCTATGCTCAGACAGATCCATTTTCACATGGGCCAACTCATCTATAACAAGCTTAATGTCCACAAGCAGACTCAAACTGGAGTCAGAATATCTGGATTTTCAATCCTGCAGTTCTTGAGCAGTAAACCTTATTAACTTATCCCTGCCTTCTTGTATACGAAATGAAATAAGTCATATACTCATGATGCCCAAAATTACTTCAGTTTCAAACAGATAAGATTAAGCTTAACTTTCAACTAAAAATAAAATCCATTAAGATCATTTAAGACATACAAATGCCTATATTGTTTTTCCTCTTAGAGAGAGAATTCTCTCTAATGGCATTCATGGTAAGAAGGCAGAGCCGGTGTAACTGAAAAACACCCACTTTCTAAGCAAATCAAGCCCTAGCAAAAGCCCCTTTCACACTTACTTTCCTACTATTTATTGATCTGATCTCCCTTCCCATGCCCTCCAAAGTCAAACTAATATGCCTAGGTATAAATTCTAGCACTAGCACAATGATAGCACAGTCTGTAACTAACAACACAAGCTCAACCCTGGAATGATACCTTTTTTTTAAGATTTATTTATTTATACAAGAACTGGGGTACAGTCAGAGGCACGGGAGGGTGAGAGAATTCACCAGAGACAGAGCGGGGAGTAGAACAGGCAGACGGACCGAGGACACTGCTGAGGGGAGCATTGGGCAAGCAGGAGAGGTCTGCTGCGCCAGCTGGGAATCGAACCCACGCTGCAGAGGCTGCGGACAGCTTCACAGCACAGTGCTCAACCCACTGCGCCACCGGGGAGGCCCGTTACTACCTTCTTACATTGCAAACTTCAGTTTATTTTTAAGGAACACATAGCTAAAAGTCATATTCTTTGAGTCAGGGAAATGCAAATCAAAACCACAATGCATTATCACCTTACACCAGTAAGAATGGCACATATCAAGAAAACTAGCAACAACAAATGTTGGCAAGGATGTGGTGAAAAAGGAACTCTCCTATACTGCTGGTGGGAATGTAAACTGGTCTAACCACTATGGAAAGTTGTATGGAGACTCCTCAGACTACTAAAAATGGAGCTACCATATGACCCAGCTACCATATGATCCACTACTAGGGATATACCCAAAGGACACAAAAACACCAATTCAAAAGAATACCTGTACCCCTATGTTTAGAGCATCACTATTTACAACAGGTAAGACTTGAAAACAACCCAAATGCCCAAAAACAGATGACTGGATCAAGAAGATGTGGTACATATACACAATGGAATACTATTCAACAATCGAAAAAGATAAACGAATGTCATTTGCAGTAACATGGATGGAGCTACAAGGGATTATGCTCAGTGAAGTAAGTCAGAAGGAAAAAGAAAAATATCAAATGGTTTCACTTTATAGGATAAATATAGGGGAACCAAATAAGGCATTAGGGAAAAAATAGTAAAAAAAATAACAAAACAAAAATAAACAGACAACTATAAATCAGAGACATACTCAGGGGAGGGATCAACTGAGGGAGGGAAGCGCAAAAGGGACTATAGTGATGATGCACGGGTGAACTAATGGTGGAAATTCTATGGGGACTACACCTGAGAAAAGAAAGCAAACACTATAAAAAAAGAGCCTCCCTGGTGGCGCAGCGGTTGAGCGCTGGGTTGCGAAGCTGCCCACAGCCTCTGCAGCACCAGTTCAATCCCCGGCCACCAGGTGAGGGTCCCACATGGCGCGCAGACCTCTCCAGTGGCCCGCTGCTCCCCTCAGCAGTGTGTTTCATCAGTCTGTCTGTTCTGCTACCTGCTCTGGCTCTGGTGAATTCTCTCACTCTCCCGCACTTCTGACTGTACCCAGTGCTTGTATAAATAAATAAATAAATAAATAAATCTTTAAAAACAAAACAAAAAAAAATTATACAAAAAAGAAAAAGAAAAAAAAAAAAGAAAAATGATGTAAAAAAAATATATAATTTTTTTAATCATGTTCTTTGATTCTATATAATGAATGGACAGTATTAGGTCATAAGCATACAGCACAAAGAATTAATGAAATGTCATAGAGATGGACCTTCAATTTAATATCCCAATTAAAGTTAGATGCTTAATCTGTAAGATACATTTGGTTTTCTGCAACCAAGATGCACTTTTAAAAATGTGCCTTTATACTAGAAGGGATCATGCTCAGTGAAATAAGCCAAAAAGAAAAAGAAAAATACCGGATGGTCTCACTCATAGCAGAAATCTAGAAAACTTAAATAAGGGACCAGGAAAATGAGTAACTATAAGAAAGTGAAAATCAAAATCAACAAAAAACTATGAACCAGAGACACTTTTTGGGGGTGGGGGGCGGGAGGGGAGGGATTGGGGTCAGAATGGGGGGGTTGCAATTGTATGGGGAATATAAAAACAAAATTTATTATAAAAAAAAATAAAAATGTACCTTTAACCTTCTGGAATTTATTTTCTAATACTTCCCAATATTTATAGAATAAAAACAATAGAACTCCTTACATATTATGCCTCTACAATACACCAGGCATTATACTAGGTAGTTTGCATGAATTATTTCCAGCTGTCCCATAACTATAGTAGGCAGATATTAACTTTCTTTGACAAATGAGGAAACAAAGTTCAAAAGGGTTGCATGCTGTTCCCAAAGTTACGGGGATACAGATTGCTTAATTCAAATGTGAACCCAGATATATCTCCAGAGAGGAAAAGCCTTTCCACTACTGTGAATGCTGCCTCTCACTGTCTCTATGCTGCTCTAGATGGTATACAAAGGAACAGAGTAAAGCTCAATCTGCTGAATAAATGGAAGATATAGGAAAAAAGCTTGGCAACTGACAAAAAAATAACTTCTCAGTTTATTTATCATTTCATTATACAATCTGATCATTCCTCCATAAAACAACTATAGTCTATACACAAAATCATGATTCTAATATTTGCACTATTTCATTAATCTAGCAGTCACACATATATATTAGATGACTTCAAAATAAAAATCACTTAAGTTATGGCTTATCACCAAGGTTCCAGAGATAGGATTTACCATATATCAATCCCAAAACAACAGCAGAGGAATAATATAAGAACTTAAAAAAAATCCATTAATAATATTGCAAACTGCTCTTCCTCCTTGTCACCAATCCAGTATCCAGGTTCACATTACTCTGATGATCTTTTTTCCCCTTAGCATGTATTAACTTTTAGAACAGGATATAATTTTCTCATATATTAGCATATTGTTTATTATCTGCTTCCTCCAGTAGAACATAAGCCCCAAGAGATCCAAAGAAGTGGTCTTTGTCTTGTTCATCGACATACTCAAGTACACAGAACAATGCTTAAACCTAAATAGATGCACAAGTACATGCTGAATGAGTAACATGACTGGAGGCACTGCAGAGGTTGCAAAAATACTAAAATGCCAATTTAATAGGATACCACATCCTAGGGTAAATGTATTATCAATGTGAGGTTAAAGGGTAAAGCAGCATTGTTCAAAACGCTAATTACTTTTCACCCTTAAGAGGGAATGTTAGATAATTATTGTGTAATTATGATACAAATAAAAAGTACTCCATTCTTAAAACTTACCAATTTAATTAAACTTACCTTTCTACAATCCATTCTGGTCTAATAACTTTTTCTCCCTTTAATTCTTTAATTTTGGCATTAGGAAGATTTGTAGCAATAATGTGTGTTGTTTTGGATCTGGAATAATACACATGGTACTGGCCCCCATGCAACATCATTAGCTTCCTTAATTCCTCGGCAGAAGGATCTGAAAAAATATTAAAATGTATTAATAGTCTTACATATAAGAAAGGAGAGCCCTAACTGAATAACCCCTTCAATGGCAAATTTAAATAACAGATAACTGGTTCACTTAATTCCTGACTGCACTAACAATAAAAAAAAGTGAAAAATGGGACTAATACTACAATTCTTCAAGTACTCAATTCAGTCAAGCCATAAATTACAGGCCATATAATATATGCACAGACTCCAAATACAGACAGACTAGGTTCAAATCCTATTTCTAACCCTTGCAAATTGTGTGGACCTCAGGCAAGCTACTTAACTTTTGAGGGTCTCAGTTTTCTCAGATGTAAACTGGGGATAGTAATAGTGCCTCAGAAGGCAATTGTGGGATTAAAAGAGCTAAAAATTATAAAAAGCTATGAAAAGTGCTTTGCACAGAGTTAAGAACTGTGTCAGCTATTGCCAATATTATTACCATATCTTATATCCCAAAGCAGGAAAAGGGAGAAATTCCAGGGCTGAGAAGTATTTCTATCTCTGTATCCTCAATTTTTTCCTATCCAAAATCACTCCTACAAATCATTCTGTTACCCACCCTTCAGTATCTTTTTCTTCAAGAATGTCCTTGATATACTCCAAGGAATAAGAAGGAAAGTGAAAAATCAAACAAAACAAAAACACATTCAGGGAAATTCAATCCTCCAAATCTTTACAAATGATGTTACACTCCAGATAAAGTCACACTACAGAGTTTTGATATCTAATGACCATTTCATTTCCCATATTGCTATAAATAAACCTAAAGTTAGGCCGACTGGAACCATCCCAAATAGTTAATAAAACTAACGTCTCTCAATCCCCATTACACACACTCATTGTACCTATTTTTAAATATATTTCAGTATAAAGAAAGACAATTACCAACAAAACTACACATCACCACTGACATTTTGGCAATGATCTTTTAAATGAAAGTGTCTCTGAGGCTCAGCAGCTCGTGAGGGTGACTTCAACAAACCAGAAAATAAAACATGAATCTTGGTTCTAACAAATATATTTTTTAAAGGACATGTGTCATTGAATTGCTTCCTTAAAGTTCTAATACATTTTTAAGCAAGCAAATTATTAATACATTTAATAGTTTCTAACAAGTAGTACCAATATCAAGTAGATCAGAGAAAAACAAATCAAAGATGGAAGAGAATGAGGTAACTTTCCACAGTTACACAGCTAGTAGTATTTAATTCAGATCTAGATTTGTGTCTCCAAAAACACATTCGTAAATCAGCCTTACCATGCTATAACTCTGAATTGAAAGGTCTGGTTTTCAGTTGTTGATTAATACTGAAAAGTGGTATCTTGGGCAACTGACTCATCTCACTTACCTCAGTTTCCATCATTTACAAAATGAGGGGCTAACTTACAAAACTTATAAAACTATTGTACAGTTCCATGCACTAAAACCATTATCTTTAGCAAAAAAACTTAAGAATATTTCACAAGATTGTGAGGGAAAGCAAAGCAGGTGAGATCACACCCAATTTTACAGATAAAGGAAATAAAGCAGAAAAACACAAATGAGGAAAAAGATGCACACACACACACATTACTAAGACACTAGAAGAGTAAGTTAACAACTCACACATCTTGATTAGCTAATAAACTATAATATTTTTTAGCTATCACAGGTACAAAAAATTCAACAGTTAAAGTAGTTTTAAAAAAAGTAAAAACTATCATTAACAGATGACATGGAAATATGCATAGAAAACCCTAAGAACTACTAGAAATAATAAATGAATGCAGTATGGCATGAGGGCACAAAATTAATATACAAAAATTAGAGGCAAATCTATACACAAATAATGAATTGGAGGAAAGATAAATCAAGAAAACAATCACATTTATAATCCTATCAAAAATACCTGGAAGTAAACCTAAAAAAATAGATGAAAAACCTATATACTGGAAACTGTAAGACATTGCTAAAATGAAATACACGACAAAGAAATATAAATATATTCTATGTTCATGGACTGGAAGAATAAACATTGTTAAAATGCTCAATTTACAGATTCAATGCAAACCCTATCAAAATCTCAATGGCAATTTTCAAGAAGAGAAAGCAAACAATTTTAAGATATGTATGAAACCACAAAAGACCTGGAATAGTCAAAGTAATTCTGAGAAAAAAAGAAGTGGATGTATCTTACTCTCCGACTTCAAAATATACTGTAAAATAATCAAAACTGTAGAGGATTGGAACAAAAACAGACATACAAACCAATGGGACAGACGAGAATCGAGAAATAAACCATCACATTTAGGCACAATTAATCCTCAATAGAGAAGCCAGGAGCATACAATGAAGAGTCAGAAGCCTCTTCAGCAAATGAGGCTGAGAAACCTGGTGAGTCACATGTAAAATAATCACACTAGATCATTATTCAACATCATATACAAAAGTTAACTAAAATGGATTAAATACTTGGATAAAGATGTGTAACTACAAAATACAAAGAATTTTAAAAAACTTTGGTAATATACTCCTGGATATATACCAAAGAGACATCTTTGGAGATTGAACTCCAATAACAAGGAAAACAAAAGCAGAAATAAATGGGACTCTATCAAACTAAAGTTGTTGTATAGCAAAAGAAATCACCACAAAATTGAAAATAAACCCTACTGTGAGAACATGTACTTGTTCATCAAAGCCGAAAGGACCTGGTGTCCAAAATACGTAACGAATTCATACAACTCAACAACCACCACCAAAAAAACTCAATCAAAAAATGAACAAAGGATTTGAATACACATTTCTCCAAAGAAGATATTCAGATAGCTAACAGGCACATGAAAAAATGGAAATCAAAATCACAATGAGCCATTATCACCTTACAGCTCTGAGAATGGCCTATATCAAAAGACTGGAAACATGTTGGAAGGGTGCAATAAAAAAGACCCTCGTTCCCTGTTAGTGGGAATGTAAATTGATGCAACCCTATGGAAAACAGGGAGGAGTTTCCCTGAAAATCTGAAAATGGAAATACCATACCCTCCTAAATATTTATCAGAAGAATATGAAAACACTAATTCAAAAAGATTTTTATTTTCCTATGTTTATAGCAGCATTATTCACAAAAGTCAAGACATGGAAACAATTTAAATGCTCACAGATGGATGACTGGATAAAGAAGTTGTGGTATATATAATAGCTGATTTTGCCTTTTGCAAAAATACAAATAGAACTTGAGGTGATTATGTTAAATGAAGTCAAACTGAAAGGCAGTTACTGGATGGTTTCTCTCCTATATGGAATATAAACCACCAAAGTAAATAAACTTAAATTATAGCAAAAACAATTCTTAGGATAGGGAGGTAGAGAACATCAATCAACCTGATAGTGGGAAGAGCACTAGATCTTGGTGGTGGGTAAGTGAGGTTTACATACACAAGAGTCGTGAAAATGCACTCCCGAAATCAACCTAACTTTTAAAAAAAAATCTTAATCAACCAATAAAATTTTATTAAACAAAACAAGTAAAAATGAAACCTAAAACTCAGGATTCATAGGTAGTCAGTGATTGCAGGAGAGCCTCTAGGAGTGGGAACTAAGGGACAGAGTCTGGACTGGGGGGAAACTCTGTGCATTACTATTCTCATCTCCTCGTTAAACTTTTGATCTTGGACTATTTATATAATCTAAAAACCTCAATTAAATTAAAATAATAAGTATGAAGGGCAGAACAAGGGTGGAGACTGCTCCATTTCCCATAGGTCAGATTATACTCCTAGAGGATGTGATTCTATTTTTGATACAATATATACTCCAGTTGATAACCAAACAACCAGCATCTTTAATCAGCAACCCTATACTTATCACTTATGGTATCTGGAGACAGAAATCATATCTAATAATGAGCATATCCTTGATGCACATATTTTAGGCATCCCACTTAGAAATCCACATATGCTTTTTAACACCAAATGACTAATGTACCATTAATGAAGTTCTATAGGAACTTAGAGCTGACAAACATTTGACTGAATTGACCTGAAACTAAGCAGGATTTTTCACATTCTGATAAACTGAGTAGAGATCTGGCCATAGAACTGAAAGCACACTTTCAAAGAAGTGGAAATAATCTAGTTTTGAAGCACTGTGAATTAGCATGAATATTTTAAGAGGAAAGCACAGGTCTAAATTTATGCTCTAGAGTTCTAGGGGGAAAAAACAAAACTAGAACCACTACATAGTGCTTATCTCTTTAAAACAAATTCTACAAATTTTCAAATCTTGGACAAAAGCTTTCCTTGATAAATTTCTATCGAGGAAATATTCATATGTGCATCATTCTTTTTTTCAAACAATTTGATTAGAATGTTGGTTGTGCTACAAATTTGCTAAAAGACAAATGACTGCTTATATCATCTCCTTTGTTCTACAGGAATCTTAATACTTCATTTGATTCTCACAATCCTATAAGTTAAAAAAAGATACAGAAATAGACAAACACTAGGTGACTCATCTGCTATTGTTCTGATCTTTTTGTCTCCCCACTCCTATCAATTACTTCCTCTCCAGTTAGCCATGCTTACCTTAGACTGTTCTCCCTAAAGACTTAACACAATTCAACTACAAGTCAAATAAGTCAAAATAAACAAAAACTAAAGATAAACTTCAAAACCCTAGAGATCACATTTTTGAGTACCTAATAAGTACAAATACCTATCAGACACTGGCAAAATCACAGAGTTGCATAAATTAATATAGTAAGTCTCTCCCATGTTGGAGGTTAAATTCCCACATCCCTGATTTACAAGATGAGGGTCTCACAGGAAATGAAGATCTGTATGTATTCACAGAAAATAATTCCTAGGAGGTAAATCGAATTCCAGAAAACTAGGTTTGTCATCATAAATGGAGTCTTTTCCTTAATCACCACATTCATATGCTCAGAAAACATTAATATATGGCTAAATTTTCAAACAAATGTCCTATTATTATGCTTGCAT